ACACACACACACACACACACACACACACACACACACACACACACACTCGCCTTTACGCAAAGGTTCATGAAGGAGAATAACTCACCTCGTCCTCTGTCCTCTGCTGTGAAATGAGAATAATCCCCATCTCACACACACAGACACACACTCTCTGTCACCGCGATCCGCTGCTGGGAGCTGTGGCCGCAGACGGAGCAAAAGATCTTCCACATCCAACAGGATGCACCACTCTGTCGGTAAAAGCAGGCGGAAGCATTAAGATAAGGCGAAGGCGCGCGTGCGCCTGCAGTTCCTGTGATGGCTGCTTGAGGTTGACTCCAAACTGAGTCCGTCTCCACAGACTCGTGTTAAACTGTACCTGAGGTTTTTTTAATGGCTCATACTGAATGCAGGGAAGGCTTCAGCTTTGGCTGACTGGCTGCTTTGATTGTCCTCACATGCACTAACACAGGGGGTCCAACTCCAGGCCTCAGGGACCGCTGTCCTGCAGGTTTCAGATGTGTCCTTGATCCAACACAGCTGATTAAATTACTGAATGGCTGGGTTACCATGGTAATATAGCTAGTGTCAGTCAATCAATAGTTTATGCCCACTTGGAGGACAACACAATACTTTGGTCATTTGCCAAACATAGACATCCTTAAAGTCATTGAGTTTAACTCAGTTGCTGGTCAACATTTCTTTGGAGCTGTCAGCAGGATGTAGACTGTGGCACCAGCATGTCAGCCCTTCATGTTTTGAACTTCTGAGACCTTTTCTGTGTTTCGTTCCAAACTTGGGCAAAATCTCACAAAGCTGAACATTAAGAACCAGGAGGGGGTGAAAACGCACCAGAGTGAGACCTCCTGGCTTTGTGACACTCTCTGATGGCTCGATTAATCAGTCCTGCATGCACCTCTGCTGCTGCACCTGCTGCAGCCCCTTCCTGCTCAGCTTCCGGCCCCTCTACCTCCTATTGGTGTGTTTCATCACCCATGCTACCATTCGGTTGTTTTTTAAATGTTTTTTAATGCACAGAAAGCATTTTAGTGCTGCACTGTTGGTGTCACAAATAAATGCTAATATTTTAACATCTTAAGGTTTAATATCATATTGCATCACCATTTGTCTTTGAGGTAGAGTGCACAACTATATCCTGCTGCCAAATACTAATAACCATCATAAATGACTTCTGTGCAGCTACAGTAATGTAGAAAACATCAAGATTAAGATTTGTATTCTTTTACAGAATGCCCCAGATGTGATTTTCCACCAGGATAAGGTAACTGTAACCAATAATCCAACTGAAACATCAATGTTAAACACTGTAGTCTGGATGGAAACAAGCAAACATTTGTTTTCTTCTGTAACGAGTTGTTACAACCGTTCACCTCACCATCATTCTGCTCCTCCATCCTCCATGTTTGGATCTTTTCATAACCCTCCTCCTCCTCTGTGTTCTGCTCTGCCTCCCTCCTACTCTCTCTGTAAAAGCTGATTGGAAAGAACATATTTCTCTATGGGAATCGATAGATTTGAGCACACGGACCAAACCGAGATCCAGCCTTACTGCATGTTTCCATGTTTCCAAGATTGCTTTCAAGGTCAGCGCAGAGAAAACGAGTTAAAAAAAGAATCTGACTTCTGTAGAGCTGCAGCTTCTCCAACAGTAAACCTATAGTCTGTCCTCTGAGAGCGCACACGTGTGGCATCATAGTGGTGTTTGAACAAAGACCTGCAGGAGTTCTACCAGCAAAAGTTTCATATTTTACAAAAGATTTATAACAGTAGCATTTAGTGAATTATCACATTCTAGTGGGAAGAAAAACAGCACAAGATTGGTATCATTCTTGTATCTGCGTATTTAACTGAAGCGAGGACCAGGTACGAGCCAAACTAGCCCAGCACAAAAACTAGAAGCATCAGCAGCAAACAAACCTGACGTCCTCTCATCCAATCACGGTCTCAAACCAACGAGCGGCAGGCCGGAGCGCTAAAGTCGAGGCTTTGACATGTGGAATCAATGGGTGATGAGTCCACTTTCACTCTTGGCTGTCTCACAGAAACACCAGCGTCTTCTCTCAGAGTCTCATGACTTAATTCTTAGTCGAAAGCTTTTCCCTTTGCTCCTATGGAGATAGCTATGATTCATGTTCCCAGTGTAAAGTGTTACAACAGCCTGTAAACATTCATACATGATGAATCTTTACAACAGCCTGTGCTCATGGTGCTGCTTAGCTCAGCGTAGCCGTGACTGACGCTGATAAACATCAGATATTCTGTAAGACTTGACATTAAATCGTTACTCAGATCAGTCTGAAAGTGTATTTTTACTGTGATGAAATGAACGCCTGTCAAAAGCTTTGCCTACTACTATATATTTTATATGAATACCAGCTAGGCTTACTATGAACTCAAAGGAGCTTCATTATTATTATAACAACGATCATTATCAGTTTCATCCCTCAGAAACTCGGCGCTGCTCTCTGTCCTCCTCTGCACATATTTATAACAGCAGAGAGTTCAGCAAAGTATAATTAGTTGGAGTGATCAGTGGGAGGATGAGGTGTGTGTGTGGATTGTAATGCCATGATTTATACAGTTATGTTGTTGTGTGTGTAGGTGTGTAATGTGCTTATACGTTACAGTGTTTGCGTGTGCAGTGTCTTGAAGAGGCAGCAAAGGAGCATCAGAGCTGTGATTATCCCCGCGGCTAGCTTCAGTGTATACATGCATTTCTGTACAGATTGATGTTTGCACGGTTGGCTGCGTGGGCGAATGTCAAATG